TTGAGTCTTTTACTTTTCAGAATATACAACTGACACTGGTTTTAGGAGAAAAGAGGGGATTTTTTTCGAGTTAATGTGCAGCTGTGGAGTGGTACAGTGTTTTGACTTCTGAAAAGTAAGTTTGAGATGCTTAATTATAGTTAGTTTAAGTAAGCAAAGAGGTTTGAGAATCACTGATTGTGTAGGAGCTGGATGTAGTCCCAAAGTGAATGGTGGGGGAGGGTTTCACTATATGATTTTAATTTAAAAAGGTGACGTAACAAGTACTCTGTTCTGTTAGTGTAGTAGTGTAAGACCTCCTTGGATGCCACTATGTAGAAAACACATTGAACACTAAATAACACGTACAAGGAAACACAAGCAGCCCAGCACCCTCTCACCTTCTTCACAATGATGACCTTTAAATCCAAGAGGGCAAAGGCAAATGTATGAATCTGCTTTGCTCACAGTACAGGTACCACTGTTGATGCAGGACGCCTCGTCACAGATGCCACTGCTACACTCACCTAAACACAGAGCCAGAACATTGATTTATCAGAGAAGTATGTCAAAGATTTATTTGGCTGTTGATCATTGCTACTAACCAATATAATTTGCTCTCCTGCCTAGATTCTTTCCCAGTTTGTCAAATGGTGTGCAATTTAGACAAGGTAACTTGATTTTTAGCACTTTTTTTTAGTACCAGACCAGAAAAAGACCTTAAAAATAGCACTAACAAACCATGGCAGTTGTAGCTGTCAATCATTCCCTGGATTACTTTTCTTCTGCTCTTCTTCCTATCTTTATTTTCTCATAAAATAGAAATCTCTCTAGATTTTTTACAAGCACTGTGACTTGTTTAATTTCAGTTACCTTAAGTCCTTCTTCATTCACTGTAAATTCATGCCATGGTAAGCATGGAAGGTGTTAATCATCATCAACTAATCTTATTAAATAAAATGAGGTTATCAGCCCTCTTGTCTGCACTAAAAGGGATCTATATCGTCAGCATATGGGGTTTTTTTACTATGCTGGCACATCAACTAAAATAACAAGGAGATGATTTCTTCTTGCTGGAATTAAGCTGAAATTGTTGTAGAACAAATGATTTACTCATTTACTTCTTAAAACTGCTATCTATAAAGTTAGATTATGCAAGTCAAATGTACATCTGATGTTCTTGTTGATTTTGTTTACTTTCTCCTTTATTTTAGTTTCTGATTAAATAATTCTCCCCTCGTTGATAGTAACAAATTGATCCAATACATTAAGAAAGCCCAAATAAGATATTTGTGGTGTACAAGTGTAAGTACATCATTTAGAGGGGCAAAGAGTTTATGACAAAGAATTGCACATTGATTTTGAGGCACATTGAAATATCACCTCTGAGATGACACAGGTGTTGTGAGGCAGCTCTGACAATGAACACTGGAGAACAGTTTCGTTATCTGAAAAGACTGAAAGAAGTCTGCAAAACTACTGCAAGAAGGGGTTATGTCCTTTTTGTTTTGTTTAAATACAGCACTCTGATTGTGAAGACTTTTGTAAAGAGGTGTCCAGTCCAGGCCTCTACAAATCTTCCGTAAGGTACTGGCGTTAGTACAGTGCCAGCTTTACAGTTTGATTTCCCATCCCATAGTTAGAAAGAAAAGCAGAGAAGTATGTAGATGTAAATGGCTGATGTGCTGCTTCATCCCAATCGCTCTGCCATCCACTGTGGAAAATAACCTTTTCACACCAACTCAGGACAGAGGCAGTAATAACTGTGGGGTCATCTGATACAACTCCCTGCCAGACCAGACTTGTTTCATATTGCACATCTACAAATCTCCTGACAGGCCCATTTTTCATTGTAGAGAGGGAAGGTCTGAGTACAGCAGTCATAATGCAGGGCTCCAGGTCTAACCCAAGGAGCATAAGCAAAATATACAAAATATACAAAAAGCAAAAAATTCCCCTGGAAGGGAACAAATTCTCCTTCTGCGTGGAAGGGGACAATTACCCCTTCAGATGGTTGCCCCATGCCCAGCCATGGGAGCAGGGGTGCTCACAGTGCTCATTGAGCCATCTCTTCCCCTTCTGGGCTGCATTGTAATGGCCACAGTGAACCGGAGCAGGACAGGCATCTAGTCTCTGAGATCCCTCACATACTCATCAATTATTGTGACAGTGACAGAAATGAGTAGCACTAGCTCTGTTTTATAAATAAGGAAACAGAGCCAAGACATGTGGGTAAACAAGGATCTAGGTGTATGGAGGTTAAGACACAAAGAGAAAACTAGGACAACACTCATTTTTACTGCATCTGCTACACTGTTAGTCAATGCTGGCAGTATGTTCAAACAGATCAAAGTTAAACAAAGCCTTTGAGAAACAGAAAAAGACAAGGATGATAACAACAACGGGACAAGTTGCAAGCTCACTGGTTTGAAGGACAGCTTGAACTGGAGCAGTCTTGGTATTTAAGGACACAACGTCTCTGTGACTTATCACAGCCTTTGGACCAGCATAGGTGACTACATCGAAAAGGCAAACCACAGGTCTGACGGCTGCATCTGCTTGGGTGCAGTGGCAGGTGAGGAAGGAGGGAAGCTGCAGAGGTAGTACAGGGTCCTGCCATGCCTGCTCCAAACCACAAGCACTGCCTCCCCCATCAGCCCCTTACCTCACAGTCCGGTGGGACTTCTACTGCAGCTGGCAGAGATGGAGCAGGGGCAGGATGGACCCCTCTCCTCCCCACCCTCAATTCTGCGGTCCGTGTACCACAGCAACCCTGATTTGTACACTGTGCCAATAGGAAACAAACAAAAGACTGGCAAGCAAAAACCATCCCTAAATCCTAGTAGAGCTCACTTGCAATTTATTTATTTTAAGCTTAACTTATATGGCATATTTTGTGCAAGTCTCTCCTGGTACAGTTTCATATAAGCGTGTGCAGCCACGTAAGAACAGCAAGTCTATCACTCAGTTTCAAGTCACACGTGGCAGAACCCAGCATTTATTTCCATTGATGTTGATTGTTAATGCAGTAGTATGAGGAGCATTCATGGATGGGAAAGAAGCTAGCTGCAACCCAGAAGGCAATAGAGATTAGGGCTCGGGGAACTTTGGGAGGGCTTTCATCTATCAATCTAAATTCCATAGAGCCTCATTCTATTGTGAAATTACTCTCTGCTTCCAAAGTCTTAAGTCTTTTCAGATTCTGTTTCTCAGGCTGCTCTGTGTCTGCTCTGTATTGAACAGAAGTTTGGTCATGTTATCTAGAGAATACAGAATGATTGTTAGGAAGTTTCTCATTAATCACTTCCTTCTTGGGATGCCAAATGCACAGCTACAGAAGAGAAGAAAGATGACTTTGTGGCTGGAGCATGGCATGGAGAGTTCAGTGATATGGGATCTGTTTTCTGCCTTCACCCCTTGCTTTCTGACTTGGGTTTACTCTTACTCTTAAACTGTTTAGACTGGGAGGTCATTAAAGCAAGGATTTTGTTGCCATGTCTTTTTTTTAAGCGCCCATTACATTGATGAAATAGAGATGAATAAATAAGACAGGACTAGTTAATTAACTTCCCTACTTCTCCATCTTTTAATCTGTGAAGGGGAGAGAATGTTGCAGTGGCACTTCACAAAGCTGTTGAAAGGATTTATTCCATGGTATTTTTCAAATGTGCTGGAAATGAAAACAATGGATGGTCGACAAGAAAGCCTATTTGCCTCAGCAGTAATGGGGTTTCATGGGGCAAAGCCCTTTGTAATGGCCACAGAACTGCTGTGGGTCTGAAATATCCCTGCATTGCTTTGGACAGGAGCAATGATGCCTTTAGGCAAAACACATTTTGTTGTGTCCATAGTGTTTTAAATACAAACAGAGTGTGCATACTATTGATTTCTGATGATATGACTGTGTCAGTCAGGAGCATGAAGAGGCATCCTGAGAGATGTTGGCAGAAATGCTGGAGCAGACATAATTATATCAGCAACACTGAGTTTCCTGTTTGCTCATGAGAACCACTTTTACTATTGTGCTGCATAACTGTGTCCACAAGACTTTTTGGTATACTACAGTGATGTTTACTTTTACAATGTGATAAAACTCCCCTACTACAGACCCAGCAAAAGCAATGTGCAAAGGCACAGAGAAATACCATGCCAAAAATAGAGACCATACCTTCCATCTCTCAACCCTGGACCATTGCTCAATTTTTTTCAACAGGCAAAAAAAGTAGCCCCTGGTTTATCACTGATTAAAGACTCCATACCATTACACTTACCGACATCAGCACCACTAAGAGCTTTCCCTAATGGCCAGGGTCTCATATCAATTATCTTTCCGTTGACGCTGAGCGACTGAACACAGCCCTGAAACCCACGATTCGTGCTTGCAGCTCTGATGAGCCAGTACATGCTGGGGGCACCACCAACGTAGAAGGGAGTCCGGAATGTAATTTTACTGTATTGGCCCTGAAGGGAAAACAGAGGATGACATGATGTAGAACAGATATAACACAGGATAATTAATTAAGCCACGCTGTGTATAATCAATTTTTTCCTCCATAAAGAATTGTGTCAGGGGATATGCAGGTTGCTCATTGGTAATTCCTTTCCATTAGTCATCCCTCTACTCAATCTATCACTTTAAATGTTACTTTTTGCACCTGCATCCATCATGATAACATGAACTTTAATGCAAAATAAAAAGCTTAAAAATCACTATGCTCTGAGGAGGGATTGTGATCTGTCTTTTGCTGCAATTTCTTCCTTTACTTTTGCCAAAATTGTTTGTGTTCTGAACTCTAAGCCCTGCAGGACACAGACCAACGGGATAGTGCCTTTTGGACAGAACCCAGCAAATGCTTAGTGTTAAATAATAATAAAATGAATGACAAAAAACAACAGTAAAAACCAAGACAAGGCATAAGCTGACACAGCTACAGCTTCAGTGGGGTTCTGCTCACTTTGCCAGCACTAAATTAACTCCCCATCTTTTTTTTTCACCTTAACCTGCCTATAGAAACATACATATACAAGTTTGCTAGCACTGCTTCAGTGCACAGGAAGGAACAAAAAAAAAAACCAAAAAAAACCCCCAAAACCCTCAAAACCTGAACAGAACTTTTTGGACCACTGAATCAAACTTCATGCTACTGTGGGCAATGGAGTCATAATTCCTTCCATAAATTGATCAAAATATATGATCAAGAGACTCATGATTCAACTCAAAGGCTGTTTCAAAACTTCACTGCCCTTTAGAGGAAAACATTCAAAATTCCCACATTTATTCATGGCCAGTTTTTACCAATGTGTCCTTCTGCCAGCAATGACCTTTAGCCTAAAACCTCTCTGGATTTTTCACCCCTGCCCTGCCTCCCTGGTATTTATAACAATAAACTAATTTCCCACAGCCTGTATTTTGCCAGGCCAAATAGGCCAAGGTTATTGAGTCTGTGGGTGTTCACTGCACAGTGCACTGCAGAAACACACCAAATGGATCTCAGTTTCAACGGGGAAAAATAATTCAGGTGGAGCCTGTGACTAAAGAGAGTTCAGATGTCCACAGGGTTTCATGGTGAGCATATGCCAGGTCTGTGGGCATACAGCTCTCCAGCCTGTCTCCAACTGCTTGCCATGTTCTATTGCCTTTCATGCTTCTGCCCTCCTTGGTCTGTCAAGCTCCACTTGTCCTGTGGGCACTCTCTAAGACCAGTCAAGTCAAAATGAACCAGGTCAGAAAAGACTACCACCCTGCTAAGACTAATCCACATCATTCTAACTAGGAAGGGCTGAGGAAGACTCACTGGAACAACAATACTACAGGAGCTGCAAGTTCTGGTGCAGAGCAGCACCTGGAGCAATTTTTTTCTGGTATAGCTGCATGTGTGTCCACTGTCAAACTCTTTTTGTAATAGGCTCTGGACCATAACCCTCCTACTAGCCCTTTGTCACATCCTTACTTCTTCAACTTCATGTTTCTTGGCTCTGGGTGATCATAGCCATGCGTAGCCAGATGCAGTCTTACCAATGTGCTGCACAATGGCATTAGTCTTTACTGGACACATCTCCCCTGATTCACATCTGCCCTTTGCATGGCCTCATAGCATTGGTAACACACAGCAACACGTGACAGAGACTGAAATCCTTTCTTCTGTCATTTCCAGCTGATGAGAACTCAATGTGCAGCATTTTTTTCCCTTCAGTGCCTGCACATGAAAGTGTAAAATAATCATAGAATCATAGAATGGTTTGGGTTGGAAGGGATCTTAAAGATCATCTAGTTCCAACTCCCCTGCCATGGGCAGGGACACCTTCCACTAGACCAGGTTGCTCAAAGTCCCATCCAACGTGGTCTTGAACACTTCCAGGTATAGGGCATCCACAACATCTCTGGGCAAACTCTTCCAGTGTCTCACCACCCTCATAATGAAGAATTTCTTCCTTATATCTAGGCTAAATCTACCCTCTCTCAGTTTAAAGATAGGACCCTTGTCCTATCACTACCTGCCCTTGCAAACAGTCCATCTCCAGCTTTCTCACAGGCCCCTTTCAGGTACTTGAAGGCTGCTGTAAGGTCTCCTCACAGCCTTCTCTTCTCCAGGCTGAACAACCCCAACTCTCTTAGCCTGTCTTCACAGGAGAGGTGCTCCAGACCTCCGATCATCTTCGTGGCCCTCCTCTGGACTTGCTCCAACAGGTCCATGTCCTTCTTATCTTGGGCACCCCAGAGCTGGACCCAGTACTCCAGGTGGGGTCTCACAAGAGCAGGGTAGAGAGGCAGAATCACCTCCCTTGACCTGCTGGTTGCACTTCTTTTGAGGCAGCCCAGGATGCGGTTGGCTTTCTGGGCTGCAAGCACACGTTGCTGGGTGATGTTGAGATTCTCGGCAACCAACACCCCCAAGTCCTTCTCCTCAGGGCTGCTCTCAATCCATTTTCCACCTAGTCTGTATTTGTGCTTGGGATTGCCCTGACCCATGTGCAGGACCTTGCACTTGGCCTTGTTGAACTTCATGAGGTTCCCATGGGCCTTGTGCACATTCAGGTTCTTTAGATGGTCTCGAACCTGATCTTCTCCAGCATTGGGCAGTTCTTCATTCTCCCAGTCCCTGCCTTTGCCTTCTGCGACTTGGGCAGTGTGGCTTGAGCACTTGCTGGTGAAGACTGAGGCAAAAAACTCATTCTGTACCTCAGCCTTCTCCATATCCCAGGTAACCAGGTCTCCCATTTCCTTCTGGAAAGGGCCCACATTTTCCTTAGTCTTACCACCAATGTACCTATAGAAGCTTTTCTTGCTTCTTTTTCAGATGTCTGAAGCTGCTTTTTTCCAAGGCTAGGGATGGCATGCTAATAATGGCTATCAAAGGGAAGAGGAAAGACTTCTGAAACAATTTGCAACTGCCTTTTTTTTCAGTGCCTTAATTTCACTTCTGTTTTCTAGCCTGGCAACAGATGGGCAAGTCAAGACATCTTCCTCTATTATACTCTATCCACCAGCCTCATATGAAATTGTTGGTTTTAACATAAGTCAGGGCAGAATGTCTATCTCCATTACTGTGCTTAAATTTATGTCCATGGTATACATGTAATTACACTTCTGTATACAAACCTTGTGTGGCTATATGCATATTACACATAAATATATACACATACATGCATATGCATCTAATCTTTCTGGCTGAGGAAGCAGAGCAGCTCTCTGAGGCTTGAAAAAGAAAGCAATTGGGGACAGCAGCTGTAAAACGTGGCAAACTTTTAACAGCAGCCTGTATCTGAGACTAGTGAAGAGTAGCGTGAGACCTGCAGAGCAAGCACGGAGGACAAGGAAACTGTGACCGGATTCAGCACTGGGATATTTATCTATGTGATTTCTAGACTACATATGTGGAAGAGTAATCTGTACACTGATCCCAGTTCACTAAATGCCCCAACACTGATAAATAAAGAAGTACCTTTTAAATCTGATCAGACTTCTGCTGGCAAGAAAAAATGTCATCATAATCTTGTGAGAGCCCAAGGTCGAGCTGCAGGTGCCGGACTACTTACCTGAGATTTTCCTGTCACTGGAGCATTGTTGTCCAGCCTGAGCCAGCCATTCATCCCATCTCTGAACAATGTGATGCTGTGCCAGTTCCCCAGCTTGATTTTGGTTTCACTCGTTATGACTGCAAGTCCAGTGCCACAGTTGAACCTGGGAGTGTAAGACAGAGAGAGCAAGGTGACAATCTTACATTAACCAAATAACTGAAAGTTGTTTTCAGACTCCAGATATTCCCTCTGCTCCTGGGAACCTCTCTGTTTCACATTGCATATTAGCAGACCACAGGAAAATTAGACATCAGGACTACATGTGATCTGTTCTAAGTTTCAAACTTCATTATCTGTCTTTCTCCCATGGAAAAGATTTTGCATCCTCTGGCCATACCAAGTGCATTGCAAAGCTTGCCAACAGCTGAAACTGTTTCAAGATGGAGGGTATTACAATCTGAGTTCCTGCCATCACGGTAATTTCTCTTGGGAATTTTTCTAGCTCCCTGGTGAAAGGCAGTGCTACATTAACAACTCTGTGATTCTATATGAAACTCAATACTGATTGACAAGGAGACCTCCAGCAGAGTCTCTGTGAAGCTGAATGTGCACACAACATGCCATTTTCTCTGACTGCCATTCAGTGCAGGTGAACAGAAACACAACTAAGGCACATCACCCACTTTGTTATTCCCCACTTTCAAAGGACTCACCCTCCCAAATAAGGAGATCCTCGAGATACTCTTCCATATGCTTCATATCTATGGGACTGCAAGAAATCCCCTCCATCTTCATTTAAAAAACCTGCAACTCCCATCTAAACAAGGGATATAAAAGGAAGTCCCAGGCCCCTTGCTGGCATTAAATCCTTTATCTTGCTATGTTATCTGCAGGTCCTTTCACTCTGAAGCAAAAACATTGACTATGCATAGCTCAATATACCATAAGCTTAGCAAATGCAGTGGCTCACTAGCATTTCTGATAACAGCAATGAGCTCTGGACTAATGCCTTGAAGAAAACTGATTATTTTGCCTTTACACCAAGGTCTGAGTAAAAAGAGTTCAACAGGGCACATGTCCACACACTAAAGAAGTATGAGAGAAAAATATTGAAGAACTGTTAAATGAAGTAATACTATCCATTTTGTGCACCGCATGGGGCAGAAGTCAAAGAAATGGCAGATATTCATCACATATAGTGAGTCCCAGAAGGCAGCAATGGCCCCTTCTCTTTACATCAGGTTTAGGGTGGAGGTTTTACCTGAACTGGATGCTACGTCGGATGATTGCTAGTGACATAAAATCACCACGACCATGTTCATTTTCTCCACAGTATAGCAGCAAACCATCCTCTGATTCAGCCTGCAATCACAGCATCAACATGAAAAATCAAAGACTAAGCTTCACAGTGACAGATAAATGCAAGCAGCACTGGGGCATTTTTCTCCAGAAAAGGGACAGCGTTTTTCAGATGGAGTTTTTAACTTGCAGAATCAGAAATTGGTTGATCAATTTTGAATCCTGCATTTGAAGAACCTAGAAAAACATTGTCATAATGCTTAAATGGTTTAAGAACATCTCTTCTACTTACAGTATGATACAGTCAGATCTAAAAACAAGCCTGAAAGCATTAAAGACTGTCAGACATGTCTCATGTAAGACCTCTGAGCACAAAGTCTAGCAAGGATGTCCTAGCAAGCCTGTTAAGTGTAGACATATCAGACTTACTGCACATGAATATACACACCTTGCTTCACATGTTCAGTGAGCCTGACACTTTTCAAGCTGAACAAACTGTGCAGGCAAGATTCCTCCATATGTGCATAGCAGCTGACACAGTTCACAGCCATCCTGCATTTTAAGCTGACAAATTGCCAGAGGAGTGTCCGACCACCACGTGAAGCAACAGACTGCTGCTGCTCTAGTGACAGTCTTGTATCTAGGGTGTGAGGCTGGCAAGTCTGCCTTATGAGGGAGCAGGGCGCATCTGAGAGCTCGGCCACCCTCCCTACAGGCAGCCCTACCAGCTCTGTCTATAACACACAGAGAGCTTTAACACAAGTCACTGTGGGATGTACACTTCAGAACCGTAGTTTAAGTAGTCCAGTATCTTGCATGTATTAGCAGCCGGTGCCCCAACCTTCAGAGGTGGAAAATAATGCCTGCTTAATGGATATACTGCTCAGTACAACAAGATCATGGTTTCTTATACACAAAGATACTGCATGCCACTTCCAAACTGCAATTCACAAAAATTCCAGGTGTACTTCAGCCTGTAGCTCATTCACATGGCTATAACCTTGCCAACGTACATGGCCACTAGTCCACAATGCCAGTATTACTAGCCCCAGGGATTCTCTCATGCACTGACTACTAATAACGGATGCAAACATTCTAGCTCAGTTTACCAACTTCATTTGCATTCATTGAGGGTGAAGCCAGATCTTTAGAGATTAAGATTATGTATACATTCACCACAATTACATTATAAGCTATATTGAAGCTAAGTTATTGTTCCATTGTCCACATCATCAGAATAAGCAAATAAAATTTAAAGCTCCTGTGTGAGACTGGAATTGCTTAAACTTACCCTGAATTCAAGGGTAATTTGAAATGTCTGATAGGAGTTTTTCAGTGGTTCAAAGGTGATGTATGAGTAGCCAGAGAACTGAGGATACTGGATAATAATATCTGAAAAGCAAAGACAGAAGCATGTTATTTAGCAGTTTTCTCCCATATAAAAATTGATATACACATGTAACACTAGATAACATCAGGTGAAAATGCAAGGCAGAGTTCCTCCAGAGACAACCATTAGTCAACAGCAGTCAACAATCAGTTAACCTATTGCCTTGTCCTCCCACTACATTTCACAACTAATTCTTTAATTCCCGAGGACCTGGTGAAATTGGAATGAAACAGAATACTGAGGGCCAAATACTGCTCAACAGTTTAATCACTGGCTTCAGTGGAACTTTCTCCAAATTTTCATCCTTGTTACAGAAGACAGAACCCATCTACTTTATATTTATCTGCTTTTAAGAATTCATTTAACACAGAGACAATAAACTTATATTCTGTTTTGCAGGATTATAAAAACATATGCAGGAAATGTGGCCAGACTCCACGCCGCATTAGTCACTGCTGCTCCATAGCTGCTGTGTCCAGCATCCGCAGAATCCTTGGATGGATCATAAGAGCCTAGCAGCTCCCAGCACTTCCCTCAAGTCAGCTCAGGGCAGAAGGTAAAGGGAGTGATGGGGAGAAGAGAGTCCCTGCAGGCATCTCTCCATGCCTGGCTGCAACAGCGGCCCTTCATACCACTCTTGTCTGCTGGCATTAGCAATCCTCACCCTTTGTTGTCTTATGTTAGAGGAACATCCTGGCTTCAGCTCAGAAAAAGAAAATCAGAGACATGTCTTACTGCTACCTTTGCAGATCATTTTCCTAAGAAGCACTGAGCACAGACAGTTTCAGGCCTGAATCCTTATTTTTGCAGTGGAGCTAAGTCTAATGAGGAAGGAAGGATGAGGAGTCCCATTCCTCTTTGCTATTTGAATACCGAATGGGTTTTTCTTGCATATTTGGATCTGGATACAGTGCTTTCAGGTTTTTTGTTTGCAAGGTGTACATTTGACACTGAGGTGAAGAGAACCAGTGCTATAAATCTGAATGCAACTGCAGCAGATGGCAATTAACTGAGGACCTGATCACAAGCAGAACTGACTGGACCAGAGCGCCATGCAGCTGTTGATTCTAAAGAAAAGTCTGTTTTCGTTCAGATTAATATACTGTTTAACAATATTGGCCACTGTGGAGACATTCAGTACAAGGGAATATTGGTACATGATGCTACTGCCTACCAAGGAATAACACACTCCCTTGTGAAAAATTTTGGTTTTGGACTGATGTTAACAAACGCACTCTACAAGTTGTATACAGTTATGTCAGTTCAAATAAATCCTCGACTCTTCATACTTGATCAAGGCCAAAAAATCACATCTGCAGCTGTTCCATGTGGCTGAGTCACAACAGATTGTTTTCAGAATGAGCCCTCTTTACTCCAGCACCAGGGAGAAGATCGAACACCCTCAGTCTCTGTATCCCCAATGCATAACACTATGCATCAAGAATGTCTAACACAAGCCCGCAGAAGAAATGTGTGTCCCTGATGCTCTGCTGTGTGGATGGGCCTTGGCAGATCAGATCAGCATGCAGAGGGATGGATCAGCTCTTTCTTAGCTGGTGGGACAGCACCACTATAAGCAAAGGGACACCAGCTTTGCACAAGGTCTGGCATTCATCTGACCCCTTGGTCATGAAACCAGAAGAAACGTAACTCTCGGGGGGGGGGGGTAAAAAGTGACCTACTAATGGCCTGGTAAGTGAGCTGGACTCACTCACCAGGTGATCAGCTCAACGTCAGACCTGGCTAAAGGGCAAGGTTAGGTCTGCAAAGGGAGAGGACAGGAAGGTGGCAAGGGAAGGAGAAGCAGGACAGCCTCCTTCAGCTCAGCAAGCTCTTGCCCTGGCTCAGCCACCCTGCAGAGAGGTGAGAGGATGCATGGCATGTCCTGACTGGGACAATCACACCTCCTCACATTGACCCAGGCTTCATGTCATGCTTCCTGAACTGGGGAGGGGGTTTTGTTCCTCCTTTGCCCCAGGCTGCGGGACACAAGTGCTGGGGCTACCAGTCCAGCACTTCTGCCCTGCAGACCGTGGGGAAAGCCTCCTTGGGAGATGGTTTTACAACAGGGGCTCTGTCTCACATCGCTGCTTGCAGGATCAGCATCATCCGATGGACCACACTGGAAATGCAGGTGATTCAGGGCTTCAGCTGCAGGCAAAAGGCAAGGGTCAAAGCCGGGGTTGAATGTCCCTGCTGGAAGCTGTGGATGCCATGGCTGGACCCTGTCAGGCCCGAGTGCCAAACAACATACCTGGTTCCATCACCCTCCCACTCCTAGGTGGGGGAAGAAGAATTAACCTACCCTGTGCACCTTCACATGGGGTCTGCATTCAGCTCTATTAAAGAATAACTTCTTCACACCTAGCTGAGGAAAGAGAAGCAAAGGGGCCAATGTCTGAACTGGGACATGGAAGCTGCTGCTGTCCTTAGGGATCCATTAAGCCCAGTGAGCTATTCCCAAAGCACACTCTGGTTGGTTCATCGCAAAGCTGCTCCTTGCTCCGGACAAAGAGAAACCAGCAACAGCGGACACACAGAAACCTACCTTCTGCACACATCTCTCCTCCTTTTCCCAAGTTGCAGTGGCAGCGTGAGCCTCCCCGGTCGTAGTCATTGACACAAAAGCTGTCTGCAGAACAGATGGTCTCATCACAGGAGAGATCAAAGAGACGCACTGCAGAAGACATGCCGCCCCTCCTTGCTGCCTGAGCCGTAGTCACCCTCGCTGTGGTTGAAGGCTGTGTGGTGGTGGGAGTGGCAGTAGTAGGTTCAGAAGTGGTTGTAAGGACCCGTGACAGGAGCCTGGAACTAGACCCTGGTGTGACCTTAGTTTCGACCAGAAATTTTCTGTTGCCTCCTTTGATAGCAGGAAGCGGTCTGAGCTGAAAGGAAATAAAGAAACACAAATTCAGTAAAACCTAAAATGCTATGTGGAAATGGAATTAATACCTTCCAGGATACAGATCTGAGGTAACAAAATCATCCTCGCCAAAAAAAGAGAAAACAACCACATTATTGTATCTGAGCATATAATACCAGATATTACATTTCCTGACAAGATCCAACACTTCAAAGTATTGAGACTATAAAGAAAACAGAAATGCCAAAGTGGAATCTTGAAATTTACCTCTTCTATGTAAATGTCGTAGTCTGAGTCATCGATATCGAATCCATCATCATCACCAGTTACTGTGCCTGTGATATACCGATGCCCATAGCTTCCACTTCCTAACTCCTCAGAGCCTAAAGAGACACAACTGCCATATTCAGTTCATATATTTTTTTCTCTTTACACACAGCAACTCAGATCTTACCACCCCCTGATTCACCACACTGAAATCTGAAGTGGTATTAATGTTCATCCTGCACAGACAATGCAAGTGTCAGCCTGGAGATGAGAGACACTGTCCAAGTGATAGACATACAACAAAACAAAGTGAAGACCTTCATTTAGTCACTTACTGTGATTCTCAAACAAAGCAGGCAAAGCTCAGTTCTCCCACTGCAAACTGACTTTTATGCATCATTCTTGCAGGAGAATGGCTCTGAACTCTTTCAGTGTGGACAACTTTTTAATAACTGCATTGTTTTTAGATCAAACTTTTCCCTTTTATAAATTCACAGTGCCATATCTGCCCTACTGGTGACCAAATAACTGGAACAGCAAAAGAGAGAAATCTAGGTAGGGCTTTTCTGGCACACTCTGCTTAGGACTTGATCAGCCTCCACTGGTTCCAATGCTCCTGAAATTAGCATCCTAAGTGTATTTTTAGGCTGTTTTTTCAAACACAATTTAGCACCCCAAAAAAAAGAAACGTGCACAGACATCATGTGTTTTTCATGTGCAAAATCTGTTTCTGCCTCTCCCTGGTGTGCCAAACTGTGCTGTGAAGGACTCAGGGCTGGGAACGGCCAGTTTAAACAGTAAGAGGGTTCTTGTAGAAAATATTTGTGGTTTTCTGCACTTTAGTAAATTCTGCTTAAACCATGCTTTTTGGCTACCAAAATTTACCAGAAGTTATGAAGAAAGATAATATAGGTAACTGCATCACTATTGTTACTTGTCATTTCAGTAAGGTTAAGAATAAAGAAACATTTGATAACCATTAAACAGACTTCATACATTTGCCTTTTCCATAAAATATTTTGCAGTCACTTAAAAACAGCATAGGTAATCCTTGCTTTACAACACCTCTGTACAGGCTGACCACATGAGCTTGTTTATTTTAGCAGACACAAGCTACCCATATCTTCTCCTAAGTTAGCAGGTCCTTCACATCGCAACATGCAGAGAGGCAAAGTCTTGCTGGGCAGCGGCTGTCTGCAGAAAGGAGACCTGATGTGCCAGAAAATGCCACTTGATAATAGTGAGAGCTTCACTACCACCACTGAACAACCCAATGGAGCCAGCAAAAGCTAACCAGGCTTAGCAGACTTTCAGAGAGAGCAGTGTGGGCACAGCGCTATCGGGTCAGTTGAGCCAGTCTAACTGGGGTCAGCCATATCCCACCTTGGTGGAGAATAAAGGAAAAATATCTCACTGACCTGACTCAGGCAGGAGAGCACTTGTCTAAACCTTAGTGCACTCTCTCTTCCTTTGCCGTGACCGCAACCCAGAAATCCTGGCAGACAGTTATGAAATCAAGCATATGTGCACCAGATATGAATGCATGCCCTGGCTGGCGAATTGGCTGCCCACCATACACTCTGTGGGAGTTACTTTTCAATGGACTTTACATGTTACATCAGGATACAGAAAAATCTGAGGCAAATGAGTAGAGGCAATGAGGCATATTTGCAACCAAAAGAACATGCTAGGCTGGGAGACAATGTGTATAAACCTTTCCACTCCAACATGTATACCTAATCATTTGTAAATAATACAATTTAACTGTATACTAAACAGAATTATTCAGCACAGAGTTCTACCAACTGAGCTAAGCAGAGAAACCATAGCTTTATGACTGGTAATGAGATGAGGCCAAGTGGACAAACTACATCCATATTATTTCTGCTGGCGACTGTGAATGCACAGGCAAAGGATTACTACTGGAGAAACAGACTGCACATTTATAAACTGGTCCCAGTTCTGCATTCATTATGGAAAACAATAGCTATTATCAAAATGTGGGCAAAACCTTACTCCTAATATTCACTTGTATAGTCATTCAGCTTAATCACTTTGGCAACAGTGATTTTATAAGACATGCATTTCTACAACAGAATTTCAGTGTGCAAAACCTCAAACATAAACATTATAAATGCGACTTGCAGTTTGACAGAAATTATATGAACGAAGCAGAGCCCAGCACTAACTCAGCTCCCAGCAGATTCAGCAATTTTCAGCTCACTAGAATACTATTGCGTTTAAGTTGGTCTGTAATATTATTTATTGCCTTTATACTGTGTATCTGAAACTATTTCAGAACTAATTCAGTTCTCCTAATGGATGAAACTGTAATTTACCTAAGAGTAACAGAAGCAATAAAACTAAGTTGGGAAAAAGAAAGGGAAAAAAAATCACACATTACTGATCAATCATATGTCACGGAAAACAATCTAATCTCTATTCAGACATGCTGTGATACACAAACACCATTTTCTAATTTAGAGGTCACAAGCTACAGAATAAAAATCTGTTGTAGTTCAAATTCTGCCACATTTTTTCTCTTCTCAGGCAAACTTTCTATTGGCTTAATGGGATTTACATTCAGTAAGAATGGCAGGAATCAAGCAATACAGAGAATGAAGTATCTTCACATTAACACATAGGAAAATGTTAGGTCTTGATCTTGCTTTCAGATATGCATATTTGTTGACATGTATGGATACAATTTTAATGCCATGCCAGTTTTACAGAAGTGTAACTCTCCTGTTATCACTAAACTACATCAACAACCAGCATGCAATGAGACCTGGTGACTTAGGAAGCACAGGCAGTTCCCCAAGCAGAAGGTATGCCTCTTTCATATGGCAGACCAAAATGTTCCATGCTTTTCCAACAGAAGACCTTGGGAGATGAAGTGTACCCACTATTTTAAACCAGACAATGATTCTTTTCACCTTATGGAACTGGTACAACATTTAGAGCCGGGAGAGAGCAAAGAAGTTACAGCTTATTGTAGCTGGTAGAAAAGACTGCTTTGAGGCCCTTCATCAAAGACCTTCAGGACATAAGTTTGGGATCACCAGGAAAAGTATAACTTCAGAAGGTGTCCTAATATCCACAGATCTCTAATATGGCCCCAAATCTCTGCTTTCACTCCCCCTGGCTCCATCCAAGTTTCAGCCAGCACATACTACACTACTCTACCTGCTGATCTGTGAGCAGTTTCGGTAATGCATAATACACCTGGGAGCAATGAAGACATGGAGATGCACTCTTTTCTAACTATATCCGAGTTTATACAGGTGAGTACACACACAAATGATGAGACCAACTAACAGCCCACTGGCTTCTCAGTCTCCTTGCTCTGCCTTACATTTGGTGTTTGCTCATTGACAACAATTTGGTATTTGACAATTTTTTTTATTTATTTATTTTATTTGTTTTGTATTTTCATGTTTTGACAGGATACCCACATGTGACACGATGCAACAAAACTGCAAAATAACAGAAAGCAGAGAAGCTAACATGACTTTTTGTAGAGAAAACCACCACACAAGCTCATCTCTTAAGAGTACTGTGTAGCTTTGGTAGACAGCTCATCTCATAATGGGTGGCAAATCAGGGACAATTAAGCAAGGTGGTACTCTGCAAATACAAAAGTAATGACTATAAAGCTTATAGCGTGCTATATTTCATTAAATCAGTGTTTCAGTGTACAAGGAGATGAAGCCTGTTTAAGACCCTTTATCAGGTCCTATAATCCTGTTTTATAATTAATTGGAAAACGTGGGGGGGGGTCATGAACTTTAGACAGCTTCTTTCCAAATAATCAGGGATTAAGTTATACCAAAGAAATCTTTCTCAAAACAAACAGAAAGCCACAAAAACTTTTGTTTTGCTGATTAGGTGGCCACCAGCATACTGATCAGAAGACACAGGAGAACATAGGAGACAGACAGACCACTGGGCACTGCAACACAGGCAGATTGAATGGAAGTGTTAACAGACTGATTGCCTTCATGCAGAAACCCTCACAGGTCTAAATCCAAAATACATCAGGGGCATTTTAACCGGAGTTTTACTCTTTTCAGTGACTCACAATGAGGCACTGCATATTGCTTGGCCTGTCTCTTCCTTTTTGTCCCTGTCTGCATAAATACAAATGCCGCCTTTGTAAAGCAGGACATCTGTGGGAAACAGTTCTGTGGAAAACCTTCTACATTTGCTATCTCCAAGACACATTAACATCATTTACATCAAGGTTTGGGCCCAAGGGACTGCCCTTTTCCTGTGTCTGAGCTTCAGCAGACACATTCAAGCACCACACAGAATATTTAAGCACCTGTGCCAATGCCTTGCTCAGTATGAGGCTGGCGGTGACCAGAGGAAGGGATGTACTCAGATTAAGCAGCCACTTCTGTCACATTTGCTGTGGAGACAAGCAGGAGTGTATTTTTAACAGAAGATGCTTCCTCTGTTGGTCTGGCTAAGCCCAAGGCTGCTGACCTTCCAGGCACAGTGCAAACCCCATCTGTTTCCCCAGGAGATGAAGGGTATTTAAGCAGTGCAGGTGATGACACTGTTTGTTTTATTCTTTAGGACAGTTTATTTTGTTGTTACTAAACTTGGTATGTTAAATCTTTTTTTCAAGTAAATTGTCCATGACACATTGAAAGATTGGATATAGCAAAACCCAACAACCATATAAGTGAAATACCTGTAACCTGCATCTGTAATTAAGAAACGCAACAAAAATTGATTTATTACATCATTTCCCTCTAGAAAAAAAATTAAACAAAATCACAAATAAATGAGAACCCATGGGGAAACTTGCCCTCTCTTTCCTCCCTGAAAATGGAGCAATGTAACATAAACCAAGCATGCATTTTTTTACTAGGTAAGGGGGTAAGTGCTTATAATGAAGGCCACATGTTCTACTTGCACAGACCTTGGGAGGTCAGTCACATTAGCTGATACTGTCACCAACCCTTCAGAGGAACATTTTAGCAAACAAAGACAATGGTTGCCTATGCTGATCTGAAACAATGCAGTCAAAAGCATTGCAAAGCCAGCCACTTTTTAAAGCCAAAATGAGAGACGTACATGTGAGAATGAGATAAACCCCAACAGAAAA